CTCCCTGTTCTCAGGCAGGTCTGTCGCTGCCGGCGGGCGAGGGGCCGCGGGGGCTGACGGCCTCTGCGCTGGCTGGAAGGGATCCGAGAGCCTGAAGCACCTGAGGAGACAGTAAGGAGCAGCACAGCATCTGGGGGGATGGGGAGGCCTGAGATTTACCAAGTGTGGGTGGGCGGGTGTTGCAGGGGGGATGTTGTGACTATTTTTATTAATTCCTCACCCCCTCAGTTTGGCTTAGCTGAAAGCCCTTCCTCTAGCGTGGGCCTGCAATGCTCCTCGTCAGGTAACTGTCACGTTTTAATGAAGTAAATAGTTTTTAATTAAAAATCTGCTTTTTCTTTTTATAGTGAGTGTTAGGCCCCAGACTTGCTGTCAGTTTAGGACAAAAGAAAGGCACCAGCTTTCAGTTAAACACCTCAAACTATGGTGAATGAAATATTGATGAGGATATTCAGAGAGAGAAAAAAAGACAGGTTTTCATTATTTTTCCCCCCCGAAGGTACCAAGCAGTGGAATAACATCTTTAGATCCACTCTGCTGCTGCTTTATTCTCCCAGCCTTTCCACCCACCTGACAGTAACGCACATCTCAGGTGCTTTCAGCTTCCCAGTGGTTCCTTCCTGCCTTTGGAATTAAAACTAAAAGCTCTTTCTCTGTTTTGCAGTGACACTGTTTAGTCCCTGCAAGGAAATCATCCTGAGAGTGATCTTCTACACTTAAAAAGGATTCTGGAAAAAGTTGTAGGAGTGCTAATTGACAGATGCTTAATGAGAACACATTTAGCTTTCCAGAAATGTCTTGGCTTTACTTTTTAAGCTGTATTGCCCTCCTGCACACTGTGACCTTCTGACTTGCACCGAGGTAAGAGACTGTGTTGTAACTGCAGCACTCTGTTTCTGAACCCACAGGCAGAGCCCGCTGCCCCTCACCGACTGTCCCGCTGCTTCCACCCACCACGGAGCACAACTGGACGGAAGGGTGTTTCCTGCCCCTCCTGTGAGGAACCACAGCCACCACCTGCAGGAAAAGGATTCTGGTGCTTTGCAGAGGTGAACTGAAGCCTAACTGTGCCAAACACAGAGCCATTACACTTGCAGAGGGGAAAAACATTCTCCTGGGGTTTTCAAGTTAAAGCTGCAAAGTTTTGTCCCACAGCTCTCCTGTCTGGAACAACCTCAGCATTCAGGGGGAATAGAAACACGGTTCTTACCTTGCTGCTCAGCTGCTGGGCCCTCTCTGTGCAGACACAGCTTTTGTCCTTGTTTCTCTGGTCTGGCCAATTACACTGGTCGTCTCCTCAGCCTGAGGATGGAACTGAACAAGCTGCTTTGGGCCCTTTGGGATTTCCCGAGGCCAAATAGGTTCCCTGTCCCTGTGGTGCCTGGTCCAGTTGTTCATCCCTTCTTGGTTTAATGTTTTATTGAACTCCTTAACAAACTACTAGACACAGAGTCCTGCAGGGAGATTACTAAGCTCTTTCCTGTGAAAAGTTGTCAGAAAAATATAATTTTAATAATTGTTTGACTAACATAAGCCTTTTTGTAGGAAAGTAAAAGGATACTGGCAAAAAAGTGATAGACTAAAGCATATTTATAGCTTTATATTTATAGGTCAGGACACAGACCAGAATTGTAATGTACAAACCTGTTAACGGTCCTGGAGTCAGTTTTCTGCTGTGTCTTTGGGAATAGTCAGCTTAGAAATTTACTGTTTGTATCTTGAAGTTTCCTGATGGCCACCCTTAGTCTTGCAAACAGGAATTCTGAAATGACGGGGGGCTGCTGGGCAGCCAGTGTGGGTAAAGTGTACTAGAGCTGCAAGGTGGCCATCCCGTGTCTGTGTGGGCCCGCTGGTAGCCACTGTGCTGCCTGCAGAGGCCCAGGGGCACACCAGGGTGCCCAGCGCTGACGTTTCAACCCTCTGATGGTCAGAAGCGTTTCCTGTCTTGAGTGTGGAAGGGGAAGAAGTCATTGAAGCAACTGGGAAATGCATACTGACAGCTGGGTGGCCTCCCCAGTTTAGTCCTGACCTCATGGGATGGGGAAGTGGCAGGAAAGCTCCCAAGTATTTGTCTTTTTATACAAGCAGTGAGTGAGTTGAATTTGAAATTAATTTTTAGCTAAACAGTAGTCAACTGCACTTTCATTCACATTACAACACTGTCATGTTTTCTTATCTCTAGTCCATTTCTTCTTCCTGTTATTCTTAAAGGTACTTCGCTTTTTTACTTCAGGATGTGTTTCAAATTCAGTATTTTTCCTGCTTTCCAAGATCCCAAACAAAACCTGACTGTGTGGCTGTTGCTAGGTCTATGTGTATGAGGGCTTTCAACCTAGACAAAACGAAGTTTAATTTAAAATCAAACTAGTTTGCCCTATTTTTCTTATAGATAACACTGTCAGAAAAGACTAGTAGAGAAGTATTCTGCTGTGGAAACAACACTACAGCGATTTCAGCTGAGTCCCGTAAAACATTTTATACACTGCTTAAACTTGGAAGGCTGAGACTGTTGCTTCTTTTTTTTTTTTCAAAATGGTGTGAAATTGAGGTGAGATCTGTCCCGCCGTGCCCTGAGGAAGGCAGATGCTTCAGAAGAGGATCCGGACGCCAGGCAGCTCCTCCTTCTCGGTGCCACACACAGCTCCAAGGACAGGCTCATGTCTGCACTCCCCGGGAAGAGTTAAGTATTTCTCTCCTGTGTGCATTTAGTTGTGACAGCCAGGAACAGCTCAGCTCTTCCTTTAGTCTGTTGGGAACTTTATACACCATGTAAAATATATCAAATCTAAGTATGTACGGGGGGGAAAAAAAAAAGGTACCTCCTCATTACTGTGTTTCCTAATAAAGGCTTCGAGTTAGGGAGGGCTTCACAGGAACTCCTGGAGCAGGCAACGCCAGACAGAGCTGCTGCCTTCATCTGGCCAGTCCTTCTGCCCTGGAAACTGTCCTCAAACTGGTGTTTTTCATCTCCAGCTGTAAACTTGCAAGGCTCCCCCTGCTTCATTCCCAGTAGTCTGCCTCGTAACCAGTTTCCTGTACACTTAGAGCATTGTCAGGGGGGAAAAAACCACAATGTCCTTGAAAAGCTGTGGTTACTTCGTAAGTGTAGCTCTTTCTAATTTATGTATGACCTGATTTTCCCATTTCAGTGCCCCAACTTTACAGTTTTGGCTGAGTTTGATTAAAAACTTCTGGCTCAGCCTGTAACTAGACCCTTTTCTCAAAGGCAAGCCTGGCCCTACCCACACCTGGCCAGGTTAGTGCTGTCTGGGGGTGGCTCTCGGTAAGAGCTCCCTATTTAATGCTGCAAAACTTGTTTGCGTTTTGTGCTTTCAGCAGTTCTCTTCTGTAACAGCCCTGCGGGAGCAGACGCACACGCACGACAGCCAAAATTCTCTCAGCCAGCAGCAGCGAGGAGCAAGCTCTTAGTGTCTTGCTCTGAGAAAAGCCAGCTCCCTGCTCTGGGAGCTCTGGGGCAGGCTTTCTGCAGCAGCGTGCTGTTGAAACACCGAAAGCGGTGCTGTGTGAGGGGTCACCCATCCCTCTCTGGACCCGTGGCAAGTATCAGAAAGCTATTGTCTGAGAGCCTTTGCAGCCTTAAAGTGTTTTTAGGAAATAAGAAAAAGGAATGATAATAAGATATATTCTGAGGCCCTGGAACCTGACTGGTAAGCTGTACCCAGACCAGTACTTTTGACCAGCTCCACCCTTTTCTGTAACGCGATGATGTGCGCTGTAACGCGATACAGACGGTGGCGGAGGCGCAGCACTCAGCAAGTTCCCGTGGGTATGGATGGAGCTGTGAGCCAGGGCAGCTGCTGTGCCCGTGTCAGCGCCAGCAAGAAGCGTGTTAACAAGGTGGGTGATCCAGGTGTTCCTAAATGCAGGCTGTCACAGCTGCAGCAGCAGGGCTCCCCCAAGAGCAAGCAGTTATGCGATGTTGTCCCCTGTGTTCTCAGCAGACACAAGGGATTTGATACATCTACTGTGTCAGTTCTTCAGGTGTGGTCTCTGTGGGCTGTGCTCATTGCTGCTCTCCCCTTCAGGTCTGGTCACAGCTGCAGCAGCAGGGCTTCCCCAAGAGCAGGCGGTTACGCGATGCTGTCCCCTGTGTTCTCAGCAGACGGTGCATGAGGGATCTAATACATCTACTGTGTTGGTTCGTCAGGTGTGGTCTCTGTGGGCTGTGCTCATTGCTGCTCTCCCCTTCAGGTCAGCCATGGTGCGTGTACAGGGACAGTGTCTCTCTGCTCTGGAGAAGCTGCAGTCAGTAAATGAAGGAGGTGTGATGTTGAAGGGGAACAGTCGGCAACTGCTGGTAGCACGGTAAAGCAGAGCTAAGAGAAGCAGTTCAATGAAGAGGGGGGGGTCACGGTGCACCACGCACAGCCCAAGTGTGAGTGAGTGCTCTGGGTCAGCGGGGATTCAGCTGTACCTCAGCACACAGGGTGGTGGAGATCAGCACTGAACTGTAACCGCATTCCCAAAGGCCTCACTTTCTTGCAGCTCCTACAGCTCCTGTTCTGAGTGTAAAATAATATCACTTCCTCCTACACAATCATAGATATGAGCCTTAGGCAATCATCAAAGCGGTGATATAGGCTAAAAAAAATCAAGCTAGGAAAGCGTCTCTTACTCCTAGAAGCTCTCCATAATATACAATTGTCAATCTGCAACACGTTCAGTCATTAGAATGGTTGTCCAGTAGAAATAACCTTGTTGTATGCACTGCCTGGCTCTGGTCCTGTTACTCCTTAGGTTTGTGAGAGCAGGAAGGAGAAATTCAAGCCTTGGAAGACTTTGCCCTGACATGCAGTTGCCCTCTAGCGCCCTCCACAGGGATTATTTATATTGCGGGGACACCAGGGAACTCCTCCTGCGCCTCGCAGCGTTGTCTGACTGGTGTGTGCAGGTTTATTGTCCTGTGTCTTGTGACTGAGAGAAAATATTCTAAATTAATTCATATTTGCATTTAAAAAAAAGGAAAGTGGGGACCGGTGGTCCTTTAAAATCAGGTTTTATTTGTCTTCTCTGACAAATCCTCCTGGTTTTCTCTCCACACAAATTAAATAAATGGCACCACAGGAAAATAACCATTTATTTCTAGTGTACTCGTGGTTTGGACACAGGGGCCACACAGGCTGTAGTCTTAATCCTCTCCAGCTTTTCCTGAGTTTAGAGCTTTTCTTTTGGCTGTTGAATCTTCTAAACGTTAATTTCTTGCCAAAGATAACTGATTGAGGATATGAGCTACTGCTAAAGCTTCCTGGCAAGGTTTTCTATGTCATCTGTTCATTGCCTTGTTGTTGCCCAAAACACGTAGAGATTAAAGGCTGTTACTGTCACTTCCTGCACTTTCTCTCCAGTTGGGTAGCTGTTGGTTTAGTAACAGCAGCTTCAGGAACAGAAGGTTTTTTGGTGTGGTGGTTTGTTTTTTTTTAAAAAAAGAACCCCACATCTCAGGCATTGCAGCTTTTCTGTCCTTTGCTTTTACACCTACATCTGTAAGTGGCCGAGCAGGGCACTGGGCAAGGTCAAGGGAGGTTTTCTGACCTATGTTTTGACATCTACATGGACAGCAACCCCAGGCTGGTCCTCCCGTCTGGCTCCTTTCCTGCTGGAAGTGGGGAAAAGTGCACTGCAACGAGGATTACCTCAGCACAGCCTGTATCCAATTAGGAGCTCCCACACAGCTGTGTCCCACACCTGAGAGTCATCAAAGCCTGATCAGAAGAGGCAGCACAACCTACAGCCTGGAGCAGGGCACCGGGGTCACGTCTCTCAGAGCCTCTAACGTTGGCACTGGTTATGGAGGATCATGTAGTGACAAATCCTTGCAACACAGGCAGTGGTGGGGAAGCGCACAGGGAGAGCTGCTGACTTCACTGAACAGCAAAGTCATTGTGCCACTGCTGAACCAAAACAACGCTGTGCTCCCCTACAAGGACAGGCTGCCTCCTCCCTCCTCCCCTCACAGCCATCACTTACAAACCTAGATACGGCCTTCCACGCACCACGCTTTGTCCAAAGAAGAATCGGCACATTTTTAACAAGAGGGTCAGTTACTCAGTGGTGATGAAAACTTCCATCGTTAGCCTTGTTCAAGAGGGCCAAGGCTCAATCACTGTTCTGCACCATTACGAGGCACTTTGGGCAGTGTCTTGCTCAAGTTGGCTGCTTCAGCTCCGGTAGGCCTTCAGCAGCTGACCCGCTATCACCAGTCTTTGGATCTCGCTGGTCCCCTCGTAGATCTCAGTGATACGAGCGTCGCGGTAATGGCGTTCTGCCGGCATCTCTGTCACGTAGCCCATCCCGCCCAAGATCTGGATGGCCTGAAACAAAAGCAGCGGGTTAGAAAGGGAGCTGGGTCAAGGAATTCTTTTTTCTACAGAACACAGCCACCTTAAATGGAGCTAAGCCCATTGCAAGCATAACTGGGGGGGTGGCGGCACATGGGGATGACTGCAGCCCATTTGAGAGGAATAAACAGGCTTTGAGACAGGTAAGAACAATCCTGATGTCCCAGACAAAGAATTAACCACTTCAGAGGTAGTTGTTAGTGATCCACGCTCAGCAAAGACACTTTTATTAAGGACCAGGGGACAATGCATGCAGACACCAGAGTTCCTGTTCCATTTACTCAATACATTGCAAACTTACTCCTAGTCCTGACTGGTGCACCCACACTCCCTCCCACATCCCTGAGCCCCCTCAAAGCTTTGGCACTGCCTCAGACAGCAGCAGGGACCAGAAGACTTTAATCATACAGCTGCCACAGGCCAGCATAAACCTCTGCACAAAATCCAGCAAGATGGCTGTGCTAACCGGCTTCAGCCATATGGCTTTGTTTGTTTTTTTAAAAAAATAATTACAAAGTCTAGTAAATTCCACCCCACCTTCCCCAAGTGCCTCGTGTTTGACAACACACTCTCCCTTTCAGCATGCTGTATATCAAAGATGTCAATTAAAGTAATTACCTGATGAGCGATGGCTGTTGCAGCTTCTGATGCAGCCAGCTTGGCCATCGCCGCTTCCTTTGGGGAAGGAAAACATCACTGAGGGTGCAGCCATCACAAAAGGGAACACCTCACTTGCACGCGGAGCTTGAACGCTCACAGACCAGCTGTGGAGCGAGACAGGCCTGATCATTGGTGCCAGCAGACAGCAGCCACCCCTCTGCCCTTGGCTAAAGCCAGGACTCGGCTCAGCAGGCTGCCCCAGGGCAGACAGAAGAGTCCAGTATCCACTGGTGAGTTAAACACTGACAGCACGGGCTGGGCAAGCACTGGACGCAGTGCTGCTGTACGTAGCAGTGCTGTACGTAGCGCGGTTTCCGTGCCCTGAGCCTGTGCCCAGCGCTGTCACTGCCAGACAAAGGCAAGGTTGGAAGTACCTTTGTGAAGGGCTTCCCGTTGTCTTTCAGCATAGCAGCTCTCCAGGTGAGCAGGCGCGCACCCTCCAGCGCCACAGCCATGTCGGCCAGCTTGAACTGCAACGACAGACACTGCCCCTGCAACAGGCGCTACGGCTGCGCCTCTGGCTGCACAAGAGCAGAGGACAGCAGAGATCTCCCACCGCAAGGCCCATATTGCTAGAAAAGGAGCACCTCCATCCCAACAGCTCTAAGTGTTTGAAAACAGACATTACTACCTTGTTTATCCCCGGCAGTGCAAAGGGCACTGTGTGCCTGACGCCACGCCTGGGAGCCCACACGACCTTTCCACCCCCACCAGCACCCTTTGGCTCTGCCCAGCTCCTACCTGCACCGCCTGTAGCTTTGTGATGGGCGACCCAAAGGCCATTCTCTTTTCAGCATAATCCACAGCACAGTCCAGAGCTGCCTGTGCAATTCCCAGAGCCTGTGAGGCAATACCAATCCTTCCTGCATCCAGCGTTTGCTGCCAAAGACACAAAATATATGTGATAAGTCAAGTTGTACTTGGTCAGAAAGCATACACTTGCATTTGTGTTCTTGCTGGGAAGCTGCTGTAGCCTTGGTATCCTCTGGCCAGACCTCCTTGATTCAGAATATTCCTGGTTATACAGGAATAAAGAGCTTGCAGAGACAAGCCAGAGGTACAAGAAGGGATGCAGAAAAGGGAGGTATTGCTTCTTATTAGCTGGGAGAAAACAAAGAGAGGGTGCAAATTGAGGGAAACGGCACAACAAGTAGCACCTGCTCTGAAAGAGAATGAAAAGAACCCTTCAGCTAGACCCTGCTCGTTGCACAGCTGATTTTACTATAACTGAAAAAAAAAAAAAAAAAAAAGGAACTCTGGTCAGTTTTCCTCTTTGCCCTCATCATTAGTACACACACTGAGGCAAGCACTTTTTTCAAAATGGCTAGTGCATTGAGTCAATAACCTGACTTACCTCAACCACTTGCCCATTAGGCTTTTAACTGCTTCCCTGCCTCTCTGTGCACATGAATCATTTACAGCACAGTGAGAAAAGGCTCCATCTTCTCAGTCCTGGGCTGAGCATCTTAAAAAACTGACTGGTGACTGATGCTTTCTGTTGGTTGCGGACATAATGGAAGGAGCTAGTCTCCAGGGAGCTCGGCATTTTTCAAAAAAATCAAGCCAACAAATGGTGTTCTGCCCCTACAGAGAGAGCAATGAACACTGCCAAGGGGGGCTGCGTCACTGCAAGGAACGCGCTGTTCCACAGCTGCCTGGATCCTCCTCAGAGCTCACACACGTGCCGTTAACATGGATTTCACCCACCCTTAGACATTATCCAGAGGTTGTCCTGTGCTTCCAGGACAGCTCTCCTCTGCCAAAGTATTTAGGGAAAAAGCCGTGTTTTCCCTTTATCTGGGGGTACATACTGGAGGAATAGAGGGTTGGAAAAGGAGCAAAATTAAAGTACACCACCCCTGTTGACACAGCACCTCAGCTGGATTGGCATTCTTGTGTCTGAGAACTGCTACATTGGCTCCACAAAAAAAGGTGCTGTCAAGGATCTGTGGTAAATTAATGATTCATCAATCTCTATGAATGATTTTTCCCATGTTGGGAAGAGGGGTCAACTGCTTAATGTCACACAGAACAACTTAAGCTAGCAGTTCTTTGAGTCTAAAACTGATTTTGAAAACGGTAAGCTTGGGGACTACAGCTTCACACAACCACAGCTGCATCCCAATCCATCCCTTACCATGGCGATTTTGAAGCCCATTCCCAGTTCCCCCAGTAGGTTGGCCTTGGGTATCCGGCAGTCCTCAAATATCAGGTTGGCAGTGGAAGAGGCTCGGATTCCCAGCTTGTCTTCTTTCTTGCCCAGCGACAGCCCAGCAGTTGGCATGGGAACCAGGAACGCGCTAATGCCCTGCAACAAGACCCAAACTCTTAGGAATGGTGCCAACTTCCCCCTTACCTGGCTGTCAGCAGGTCTCCTCCAAACATTTTTCATAGAAGCCATGTCTAGGTGACCCAGGGGAAGGAGAGGGAAGGGAGAGCTGAGAGAACAAAGACGACACTATCAGCCTCCCCCCCTCAATGTCTGCACGGCTCTAAACACAGACACCCTCCCAAGCCTTTTCCACGTGCTGCTCCTGCTCAATTCCTTTACTCCCGCCCCTTCTTCCTGACTGACCACTGAACGCACCTTGTGTTTCTTGGATTTATCCGTAGTAGCAAACACCACGGTGGCTGAGGCGTCCCAGGCGTTGGTGATCCAGGCCTTGGTGCCATTCAGAACCCACTCGTCACCATCCAGGCGTGCCATCGTGGACGCTGCACCCGCATCACTGCCGTTTCCTGAGCAAGGCACCAGCAAACACGACTCAGCCAAGCAGGGACAGCCTGGGGCACAAACCCACCCCCCCACCAGCTCATGGCACCTCTTGTAACTGTGGCAGTGTCAGCATGTCCCTCCCAAAGGACCTGAACAGGAAGGTGAAAGGCCCATGTGTCTAAGATGTGTCCACCTCCAGTGCTCTGCGCACACAGAGGGGATGAAAGCTCTCAGTGTGGACCATGGGGATGGCAGTCAATACCTCAGGCACTGAGACTTCATTTACACAGAACTGCTATAAACCATCCTGCCACAAACTGTTACAATTTCACAGATCTAAAGTCCATCCTAAACCCGAGTTAAGGAAAGAAGCCACCCTATGTTCTTTGCAACAGGAACAGGAACAGTCACATCACCTGGTTCACTAAGGGCAAAACATCCAATTTTATCCCCGCTGGTGAAGGGAGCAATCCACTTGTGCTTCTGTTCTTCGGAGCCAAACTTGAGTATTGGCCCTAAATACAGAGACTTTAAGAATTGAGAGTTGAGTTAGTGCCTCTTGAAGGTTACAAGCCATCCAGTAACTCCCCAATGTCTAAGAACCAACCACAGGAAGAGATCCCCTTTCTCCCACACACCCCTCTCCAGTAACCCCCCAGATGCCAGCCTGGGTCCCACGCCTGTCCCTCACACACCACAGAGACACTTACATTATTCACACTGACAATGACACCCGTGGAGGCGCAGCCCCTGCTGATCTCCTCCACGGCAATGGAATAGGCCAGGTAGTCGAGGCCTGCTCCTTTGTACTCCTCCGGCACATCCATAGCCAGAAGCCCTAAGCCACCCATCTTCTTCACCTGCACGTAGGGAACGGAGAAGTGAGATCCCCTGCACCACCAGTGTCCCAGCAAATACACGCAGACACACGGAGATAAAGACAGGTCACGGCAGGGCAACACACAGAGGAAAAGATGCGCACAACTCCTGGTGAAATGGGAATCTGACTGTACAAACTGGTAAGTGTCCCCAGGTCCCACTGACTTCAACAAGAGCTGTACACAGTCACTACTGCCTAAGACAAGGCTCTTGCTTATTTAAAGAGCTCTCTTCAGTACTAGGAAGGAGGGAGCCTTTTGAAGGTGAACTAGGGAGATACAACCCGACCAGCATTCCCTCTGCCTCCCACCAAAGCTTCTCCCCTCACATATCTCCTGTCAGTCGGAAGCTCTCAATGGCAAATCTAGCTGATAAAAATCATTAGAACTTTACCTTTGAGTCTGCTGAGCTTCAGCCTAGGACTGCACAAGAGAAGAATTTTACAGAATGAATGACCCATGGAACAGTTTGCAAGAAGGTGATTTTTTCATTCTCATAAAGCCAGGTCTTGCTTCCCAGAGAATTTAATTGTTGATTACATTCCAAATTATTGCACCCCAAGTTCCTCAGCTGGATCCCCAGCTTCTTAACCATAAGCTCTTCAGGCTGTCTCACTCTACTCTTCTTGTTAACATACAAGAGGAAAAACAAGCTTTCCTCTGCTTTTATACTTAAGATGTCAAGCTTTTGGTCTTGCAGAAATAGGCATATTACCAGCCCCTGCTTGCTTTAAGAGGAACCAAGAGGAATTTTTAAACAAGTATCTTCCCTCCTGTACAGGCACCCAAAACTAGTCCTCCACATCAAATCCAGAGGATGAACAAAAAACAGCAACTAATTCTATGTATGTTACTTTATCTTAATAAACAGTGTTTACATTTTGAATTTTTCCCTACACATTCGAGTGAAAAGACTCAAAATCAAATGTAAAATTCTCAGATAAGAAAAATGAAGTACAGAGGAAAGTATTTCATTCCTTAGAGTGAGCATGACTTTCCTGGCTACCTTCCTTACTCCTTAATAGAAAGAGGGGTGTATGACAAGACTCACATGCCTCTGAGTGCTTGCTCTTAGCCTTTTGGCTAATATAGCAGTATGTTTTTCTAGAGCTTAGTATTTTGCTGCAATACAACAGGTGAGTTAGTCTGCTCAACACAGCACAGAACGTACTGCTGTGTCTGTACTGCTTTCCACGAGACAAGTCACAGGTTTGACTGGAATCTCAACTTCTTCACAGCCCTAGAGGATGACCAACATGCCTCTCCTGTCTCCTGATTACTTCTTTTCACCATCTGAAACGCACTCAGGCCATCTATGCTTCCTCACTATAAACCGTTTTTATGGTTATGAGCAGTCTATAAAGTATTTCATCGGTTTTAGAAGTCAGTTGTATTACAGGCCACAGGAAAGTCAGTGAGAGAACTGAAAATGCACTAAGCTCATACACAGAGAAACACAAATAAGAGTAAAGAGTACAAAGTGTCCTGTGGGCATTACAACCTCCACACTCAAAGAACTCTCCCACAAGCTGGTCTAAACTTAAATTTTCTACTAAACCAAAGCTCAATATACATTTTGCCTCAGGCCCAGGTGGTCCTGCCACAGCAGCTGAGGGAAGTTGAGCTCCAAATGAGCCGGCCCCCCCGCCCACCTCCCGGCGGGAGCTGCACACACCTGCTCGGCCGGGAACCGGTGCTCCTTGTCCAGCTTTGCTGCCAGAGGCATCAGCTCCTTCTCTGCGAAGTCTCGGCAGGTCTGACGCAGCATCTGGTGGGTCTCCGGCAGCTCCGCTGACTGGTACACCGTGTGCAGCCGCCGGAGGCACCCCAAGGCCAGTGCTGAAAGGCAGGGAAGGAATCGAGCGCCTTCACACCCCGAGGAGAGGGTTTAACCGGCCCCAGAGGACCCGGGCTCAGGGGGGGACTCATGCAACGGGGGTGGGGCCCCCCTCACAGCGACACTTTCCCCCCGGAGCCAGCTCACAGCGGGCCGGGGGCTCAGCTGAAGGGCGGGCGCGGCTGAGGGGACCCGCCTCAGGCCCTGAAGGGCACCGGGGCGGCCGCCCGCCCCCCCCCCC